GCTCGCGTAGTCACTGACCATTCTGCCTCGGGGCTGAATGACGGGATCCCGCGAGCGGAGGCGAAAGTTCGTTACGATAACATGACTGACTTTGGTCAAGAGCTCGCAAACGCAAGGGCTCAGAACCCGGGTCGTCGGATCGTCACTTTCAAGGACGATGTCGCCTCAGCTTTTCTGAACCTCCCGGCTCATCCTCTCTGGCAGCTTCGTCAGATCGTCGCAGTCAACAACAAACTCTACGTAGTGCGCCGTCTTGTCTTCGGCAATCGTGCATCCCCAAGGATCTGGTGTGCAGTCTCTGGCCTGCTATGCTGGATCGCGATCCGGAAGCTCGATATCACCGGCCTCTTCGTCTATATGGACGACTTCTTCGGATGGGATTTTGAAGGCAACATGGTCGTCTACAAGGGTCATACCTTTGTACAAAAGCAGGCGCAGCTACTCGTGCTCTGGGATGCGATCTCGTGTCCGTGGGAGGTGCAAAAACAGCAATTCGCTGACCAGCTCACCGTCATTGGATTCCATATCAATGCCAATCTTGGCACCATCTCCCTTCCACCATCCGCCATCGCAAAGTGCATAGAGGACATTGATCGCTTCCTTGGGCACCCGAAGCGCCAACCAGCCCTTCGCGACTGGCAGCGTCTGGCAGGGCGCCTTAATTGGCTTCTCAACGTGCTTCCCTGGGGTCGTCCTGCCCTGACCGAGCTCTATCGTAAAATGGCCAGAAAGACGCAGTCATTCCGAGCGATCTACCTTAACCGCGACGTCATCTCCGACCTCACCTGGTTTAAAGAGACTATCCCGCGATCTATTGGAGTCAGATTCGTCGATAACGGCCGCTGGGCGATCTCTGAAGCCGACGTCGTGATGTGGTCGGATGCAGCGCTAACGAAAGCACTTGCCTTCGTCTATTCCAACAAGGGCTTTGTCTATCAGATCAAGCCCCCTCCTCCAAATTGCAAAGTCGACATCTTCTTTCTCGAGCTAGTCGCAATCTTGTCGGCGTTGCACCACATCGCGACGCTGCCTATACCTCCTCGACGAGTGCTCATCTGGTCCGACAGCCTTAACTCTGTTGATGCTCTTAGTTCGCTCAGTGTCACCGAATCCCTTCACAACTCGGCTCTTCTCGCCATCGCAGCTATCGTGCTTGAGACGGGCATCGACATCAGGTGTCGCCACATCAGAGGCGAAGACAACCTTCGCGCTGACATGCTCTCGCGCCTCATGCTCGACGAGTATGCACGTCGTTTTCCAGCTGACCGCGTCTGCTTCTTCTCTCCACCTCGGGAGTTGCTGCCGGCGCGATGGAGGGAACACTTTTGAATGCGCTGGGCGGGCCATCCCGGCCACGTCAGGCCCGCCCAGCGATAGCGCTCTCAGCACTTGACGAGCGAACGGCCTTCCTGCAAGCGAACGCGATTGAGCGTTCCACTGCCCGACACTACGCGACGGGCGCCCGCGATTATATCTCCTTCTGTGCTAAACATAACTTACCTCTCAATCCAACGCCAGAAACCCTTGCTCGCTACATCGCCTACACTTCGCAATTCATCGCTTCTGGTCCGAAGTACCTCTCAGGAGCTCGACACTTCCTGCGCGACATTTTTACTCACTTTGACATCCATCGCTCCCACCCATCTGTTCAGGCCACGATCACTGGAGCTCGCAAGCTGAGAGGAGAGGCTGTGCGTCGCAAGCTACCGCTTCGTACGTCGCACTTAGCCGCCTTTGTTCACATTGCTGTCCTTTCCAAATCTTATGACGACCTTCTGTTTGCCACCATCCTCTCGTGTATGTTCTACGCATGCCACCGATCTGGCGAGCTCGTCGTCAAAACATCTGGAGGCAATCTCGACTGGCGAAAGATTATCAAGCGATCCTCGCTCGAGTTCTCTGGCTCCCGCGCCTCGTACCACCTCCCCTACCACAAAGGTGATCGATTCTACACCGGCACCACCATCCTCCATATGCGTCACGACGTCAGCTGCCCAGTCGATCTTCTTCGTGACTATGTCCGTGAACGCGATCGTCGCCACGGAGCTAAGGCCGCACTGTTCTTGCGAGAAGACGGGAGCCTTCCTATGCGTTCTTGGTTCGAGCAGCGCTTTTTCACAGTCCTCGACCACACTTACGGAGGCCATTCCGCACGCGCTGGTGGAGCGACCTACTATGCCGGACTCGGCCTATCGGAGTCTGTCATACAGGCTCTCGGTCGTTGGTCATCAGCGGCGTGGAAGGACTACGTTCGAGATAACCCGACAGTACGTGCCGAGCTTGAACTTGCACGCCTTCGTCTGCCCTCTGTGCAATGATCTTTTGGTTCTGGCTGCTCGCTCACGTCTTTTACACCACCACCATCCCCCTCACTCACCATCACTGGCCATTATGGCTACATCCTCTCGCGCCAGCGAATACATCGCACGTGGGGTAGCGCTCGGCCGAGCACTTCCCGTTTGACGCAACCCGAGTCGAGTGACAAGGTGGAGGTCGAGGTAATTCCGGGTTCCGGGGGTAAGGAGGAATTTCTGAGGCCTCCGCACCCACTCGGAAGACCTCTCCACGCACGTCGCACGTGCATCCCGAGCCAGGGGCGCGTCGGGCTCGACCAAGCTCGCTCTGATGTCAGCGACCTGCTGACGGAGGTCAGACGAGCATGCTCATTGGTCAGTCCTGCAGCCCGCTGCGCATCCCCTATCCTAAACAGGGTCTTAACCTCGCGTACGGGCGCAGCGCACAGATCACCCTTCTCGCTGCCGCCCCGCAGGTACGTCCGATTCAGCCGCCTCGCCGCTGATCGCGAAGCTCACCCGCCGTGAACAGATATAGTACGCCTCGTATATTTTAGCGTATCGCGCAAACAAAGGCACACTATATCTCACGTACGCGGGTCCCTCCATGCTGCTGTTTAGTAGCTGACACATTATATTTCACTAGAAGTCTGTCAGACTTCGAAGCTTCGCATCTGCCCACCCTCCTCTCCCTTGTTTTCATTGTTTCTTATCATGTCCGATCTGTACTACTATTGTAGACTGCTTTTCCGTATTCTTTTGTACAGTAGGCTACATCCTCTCGCGCCAGCGAATACATCGCACGTGGGGTAGCGCTCGGCCGAGCACTTCCCGTTTGACGCAACCCGAGTCGAGTGACAAGGTGGAGGCTCAGTGTTACACCAGTGGAACGCTGCGTACTGACGAGTCTGCGAGGACCTTCGTAGGTTGTGCTGCACGAGCCTCAGCGCAGAATGGAGCATAAAAGCCGATAACTATGTGAAGCTTGACTCAGACGAGACCAAGTCAGCGAGACTTGTCGACGTCGCTTCTGGTCACAACCGTGGAGGAGGAGCCGAGTCCCACGCGATGTTTCGCCAAAATAGGAAACTGTTGAATTAGAATCATTCTTCAATTTCGTGGTACTACACTGGTAGGTTCGACACAAACGGAGGGTCTTGGTATGAGACTAAATTTCGTGGCAGATGCGAAGCCGGAACCAATCCATCCAACAACTGCTACATAGCACATGAGGCATATAAGAGTAAAGAGGCCATCAAAATTCCGCGAGAGTGATGATCAGGGGCCCGCATTCGTCGACACAGCCACAGCTCCCTGGTAGAACCTACTTATTCTTCATGAGCGGTGAGATCTGCGCGCGACCGGGGTAGAATGTCGTCGGTATAGTCCTATACATGCAATGACACCACACGCTCAGCCACTGACTCGACAATGTACGAAGACACTCACGGCGTCGGGATGAGCGTCGTGCTCCCAAAGCCTGCCGTCAAGTCGCCCGCCATCGTCGTCGGCATCGTGTACCCGCTCGGCTGCGTATAACTCGTCGTCTCCACCGCGTAGCTCGTGTGGCTACTTCCCGACTTGAGGCAGGCGCCGCTTCCGAATGCACTCTCGCATTTCACCGTCGCCTCGTCGGTGAGTGACCACATGTATACGTCCGTCAGCGTGATGTCGTAGCAGGGCGCCACGTCCGCGCAGATGATCTGGATAGGAGAGCGCTCGACTCCGTCGGCGACGTTGCCGTCCCAGCTCTACGAGGTCGTGTAGAGCAGTGAGCCAGCGACAAGGCGAGAGAAAGATCGTGGACGCACTTGGAAGGTGATGTTCTCCAGCGTCACTCCCGGGCCGTCCAGTGGGCTGATGCTTGCCCAGTACTCGTTTATGTTCAGCCCGTATGCGGTGTCACGCGAGATGAAGTTCTCAAACACCGCGTTCGATACCGTTCCGGAGCCGCCGTTGCCCTTGATCATGTACGCTTGATTCCCGCCGACAGTGTAGACGTAGCTGTGCAGGACAAGTGGTCGTGCCGAGGCATGAAGATAACGGAATAGGAGGCCATCGAGAGCGAACGAGACAAAGTCGGGATGTCAGGGATAGTACGTAGATGCGTCAACAACGGGACTCACCGATAGAGAATGTTCGTGATGGAGGTGTTCACCGAGAGACTGCCCATGGCGCTTCCGCCGCTCTGATTGCACCAAACTGAATTCACGCACATCGCGGGGGGATTTAGCGGCGCATCTGGTCATGCAGAGAGCCTGAAGCGACGCACTTTGCTCTACGAGGATGTTTGACGCTGGGCTCTGATCGGATATGGATCAGCAAGGGAGAAAAATGTCATGATGAGCGAGAAGGAGAGTGTATGTGGGCACAACACCAATAGGTCGCATACAAGAAGGGTAGACACACCTTGACGGTGACGCACTCATCGCGGTTTGTCACTTCCACGTCATGGATCCAGTGGTTGTCGCCCCAGACATCAATACCGTCAGACCCACCAATATCTGCACCGCTACATATGCGGCGGTGTGGGTATGATTATGGAAGAAGAAAGGCGGGGGTCGGAGAGAGGAAGGATCCCAAGCAGACGGGTCAGTCAAGCTCATCACGCGTAGGAACCGCGACGCCGGGTCAGAAGAAGAGGATAACACGGACCGGATGGCGAGGTTGTAAACTTCTCCACTGCTTCCCCCCTGTATCACGAGATGGAACTCCGGTGCTACGGATCGGGCCAATTAATTGAGAGTCAGCGCGTGGTGGCGAGCGAGAGCAAGAAGAGTGGCTGCGCCACCGCGCCGCGCAAGCGTGTAAAGCGCCCACCTGGCGCCCACAGCCCAGGTGATCGATCCTCGTTATCCAGATCTCACCTTGATCGGTGCTACCGGCTATCTCAGTTTAGACTTCGATCACCGGTCAAAATGAAGAGCCCGAAAGCCGGAAACCGCGGAGGCAAGAATGGATAGAGCCGAGACTCACAGTCGACAAGGATGAGGTCGTGCAGCGACCAGTACGTCGAAGTCACCATGCGGATGAGACGCGGCCTAGGTCATGTTATGATCAGTGAGTCACTGTCCCGGGCTACTGGCCAGAGTTAAGACGAAGGGTGCAGTCGACACTTGGTAGTCAGTGGCAGAGTGACTTCCCGCCACGAAGATGACGAGCAACCTCTCAGCCCGTCACGTCGATGCACCCACGCAGGAACTGCCGCCAGCTGTCAAGGCCCATTTGATGACATGACACTCACCCGTCATTCCGACATTCGTATCCCAAGCCCTGAATACCTCCCGCGGAGTTGGCAGAGTAAAACTCGAAGTCCTCGGCGTCCTCTATGGCGATCATGTTGCCAGCCGTCGTGGCTTGACCATGATGAAGGGGGGTCATTTCATGTGTTCACAGTACGTAGACAGATCGTCCGGAAGTCATGTCCGAGGAAGGCACCACCTGAGTAAACAGAACTGGAAAGCCTCAGCTGTGGACGTACATGCGCGCGTAATGAGACCATCCAGCCGGAAGGCCCACTTGGTCCCTCCGCTGAGCGTGACCCATGTCTGCATGTCATAATTGCCTGTTATGATATGCGAGGGGAAGAGATAACGTCAGTTTTGCTGCTGCGAATACAGCCAGATTAGGCCACACTGTGACAAAGCCTATTTCCCGGCGGGAAGGTTTCAAGCCCCCGAAGCGTCAGCGGGTCACCTGGAGGCGACTTTGTCGACTGCCAGGCCCAACGCCCAAAGAAAATGAAGGAAATGAACGCAAGACGTACCGGAAGGGACATAGAGCGTCGAAGCACTCGAATTTGTGAGCACGCAGTCATTGAAGGCAGTCTGTATGGCGGGACCGATATCGCTAGACCCGATGGAGCCACCATAGTCGAGAACATTGCAGAGGTTTGACTTTTCGCTCAGAGGCGTCTTCGGGCCCACAGGGCCGGACAGCTGAGCGCGGGCGCCGAGCGCACAAGCGAGCGAAAGCACGAGATGGACGAAGGCGAGGGAAAGCATAGGCGTGTTGCACGTCAGCAGCGGTGCGGGACTCGATTTCGATGTGAGCGGAGACGTTATCAGAGGAGATGACTGGGAGGCGGATCCTCGACTGGGTTATATACGGCCACCCTCATATAAGGTGCGCGTTCAGCGGGTGAATCTTGTGCGAGGGAAGGACAGCAGGTCACGGTTCCCTCCGCTCGCATGAGTGAGAAACGCATGTGCGACCAGCCGTTGTCAGGGTGCGTCCCCGCGCGGACCGGACAGTTAAGCTTTCTGACCCGTGAGTTTCTGTAGAGCGGCGGTGGGATGGGCGGTGGATGGGAGGGCGGAAACAGGCCGATCGAGTCGTGGGCGTGACAAGCGACAGCGTGATCTATAGTCTCCTGCCCTCCTTCAATACAGTATGGTACACGCCGCGGGCCGCGAATGACGGGCTGGAGACAGGGAAGGCGGAGCTACCACATGGGAGTATTGTACGGAGAGACGTACCACGGTTCCGGATAGTTTCTGCCATCCAGGCTGATGGCAGGTCATGGTCCGCCGTGGATACATGTCACACCGGGCTACCACAATCCTGGAGAGGGCGTTTAACGTTGTGTTGCGAACGAACCCTACAGACAATTGAGTAGCAAGGCAGACCGAGAACCCAGCGCGATGCATTGCGACTACGCAGCACGGGATTGATCAAGGCCCGGGCCCATCTCATACCCCACTGCGGGCGGGCCCGAAGTACGAAGGTTTCCGGTCATGGTAACAGTGGACAGACGTATTGAGCACAATGCCTGCTGATACGCACCAGATGACGGACAAGGGCCGGCCCGCCTGCAGCGCCCGTGCATCCGGAGCACCAAGATTGGTTCACACGAGTATAACTTCCGAAGACGACCTCCGCCCGCAAATAGAAGTCACATGAGCAATTGGACGCGTTCAAAGGTAGTGATCATGACGTACAGGTGAAAGACATACTGACATGTACGACAAGACCTCCATTTACATCCTCGTGCAACAGCCTGGGATGATGCTGTAGCAGTCAAGCCATAGACTGATTGCGACTACGAGCCGTGAAGGCCTCGAAGTAGCGTTGTCAGACAAAGACGTGAAGTACTTACTTGGAAGCATCATGCCGTATTCTCACATTCGTCAATATTGAAGAATGTCATGCACAGAACAACAGAACACGCATCACCAGATCGATCTGCGTCAAACATTCACGTGAGGCATCATAGAGCAAACAGTGACATAACGGGTCGTAAGGTCAACAAGCGGCCACAACATCCATACCTGCGCTACAAGTCATCATCGAACTGCGCCCTCGGCCGTAACCAAGCTAAGCTCAATATCGGAATTCGTACCACCGACGACAAGTTCGGCCGAATCGTCTCCATAGCTGGTTCCGTCGTCACGATCAAAGGTGTCTGAATCGGACCCATCAGTGGCGAAGGTAAGCCCGTCATCTAGCGAGTTGCCTAGGGGGCCGATGTAACGCGAGAAGCGCAAATCGGAACGCTCTGTGTCCTGGGTTTCGAGCGACATCGTCTCGGACCCAAGGGCCACTTCGCGCAAGTTGAGGAAGAGCCGCGAAAGGAGGATTGTCGTCAGGCTAGAGAACATGTAATGGTTCGATGTCATCTTATGAACGATAAGCGAGGTTGGACACGCACACGAGGACAAGGACGGCAACCTCGGAGTCGTCGCTGAAGGAGATCTAGACAGTGGGTCAGACTCAGCACATCCAGAGAAGGTTAGACATACACTTTGTATGTACGACGTCAAAACAATGATGTTCGCTACAAGGAGCGTGCTGAGGGAGATACTTTCAACCACGGCATGAGACATTCAGCGGAATTCTCACCAGAAGTAGATTGTGCCTAACGGACACACGTGTCAGACCTGCATCGAAGCCGCATCATCGCGCCACTGACGCACCGTCTCTCAGTAAAAGGCTCGTGAGCGAGATGTTGATATTCATCTGCCGCGCGAGCTTCTTGGTACCCCCGTTAATCCGCCACGTTGCGAAGAGGACGAGAGCGTCCGCAACCGTGGAACTCGCTCGCGTGACGATCTCGACTTTTCATATTTGATAGATCGTCAGAACGCCCAACACTAATCACGCAAATAGGCTTACGTCTGCAGCAGTCCTTCAGTGTCCATTTCTACCAAGGGAAACGCGGGCGTACTCACATTTCTTGAGTGTTTACCGGGGTATTGGAGAAGTATACGCATTCATCGGTGGGTGGCAAACTCATGCGCACGAGACTTGTCGCGTTATACTGTGGTTCAGATGCCAATCTATCAGCGCCATGCGTATGACACATTCGTTGGGAACACATACGATGTTGATCGCCACAGGCACGAGCGAGAGTGACATGATGATCGACGGAAGTGGAAGCCTGAGGCCATTGATCGCATAAACGCGCAGTGCGGAAGCGGCTGTAGCCCGCGTGAGCATGATCACAAGCTCGATCGTAATGGCTTGCAATGCTTACCACCCCAGGCGAGATACAAGGCACATATAGCGATATCGACGACGACATTCAAGATGGCAGAAGTCTGGTATGACTCAGTGTTGGACGTGAACGAGTGTGAGAGGAGTACTTATGTACCTTGCACGGGATGTCACTCGGGACGCATACAGTGATGAGGAGGTACACCGCTGTACACACATGCATGATCCCGTATATCACGGGTATGACGATCCCAGTGTTCTTCCGACGCCATATCAGATTTACCTCCTGCTGTGAGGTGAGGATCTTGTCGTAGAAGTACAGAGCTGAGGGCAGTTCGGGTCAAAGACAGCCTTTCATGAGAGTATGACTCGTACCAGTTGCAGCGATGGAGATACGGCTGTCGAAGATACTAGCGACACAAATGTCAGGTGTGGCAGAACAGCGGCGATCATATGATTGATGCTCAACTTACAGGATCTTTATAGCATTAGCCTCAGACATAACAAGGGGAGCAGAGAAAGAGAGGAGCGGGGCACTGATCCAGCGAGCAAAGGCAGCTGGGTCCTCCTATGTAAGTAGCTGCAGCTTTCGACGAGATCCTCCCTACTCGAGAGGACGTAAGTAAAAAGGACGATCAAGGCTGGGAAGATTGCGGTCGATCACATGCAATTTCGACATGCTGAAACGCCTCCCCAAGTGCCGAGACGCAACTTGCGATTCTGCGAATGCCCGCCATGCCATCAATTGATTGTCGGTTCTGGCTAGCTGTAGCGCCCAAACCGCTCAATGATTCGGGCAAGAGTCGGGCTCCTCAAGCACGCGCGAGGGCGCAGATCAATCCGGGCGGTGAAATACGTCAACAGGGGGCGAGCATGCAGCGATGTGATCAACGACGCTGAAATGACAGGAAGACTTATGTACAATGTGAATGGACGCACAGCTGGGACGCGTCTTGACTCACTTGGATAGTGACTGCCTGTTTCGGATGGAACGAGCGCATCGTTAATCACCGCTGATAACTCCCAGCACGCACGGAGAGACACTCAGGCTTGTGAGTACGAGGGTCGATTGTGCCATTCACTCACGCACACGCGGACCGACGGGACTCATCGCCATCGAGCAAGCACTGGCAATCCGGCTCTGCTGCGCGCAGCATCCAGTCACCTCGGTTCCGGGCAAGAGTCCTCCTTAAGTTCTAGATCTGGACAATTATTCCAGGTGACAAGACTTGCAGTTTACTGCGTACACACGCAGGTCTGCGGGAAGAGGCACAACGGAGTCTTCTGACGCGAAGGTCGCTTGAAGCTGTTGCAGGAGGTTAACCGTGGTATACCGCTCCCGGGAGGATCCGGGTGTGTATACGAATGACTGATTATGTAAGTCCTGACGCTGTGGACGGTGCGGTACGTACACTCACTATTAGCATTGCCAATGATTGCAAATCCTCAATAAATATTCATCTTTCTGCAAACCTTCCGGAGCGCGCGGTCGTAGGGCGTACGGCAACGGTGTCTCACTACATAATTGAGGTCCTCCTGAATCTGCGAGACTAGCGCCCCATCCGCCATACCGAGTCCGCCACGAGACTCCACAGAGCTCTATCCGGAACAAGACTGATCGTCTTCGCTTGCTACAGTGTGAACGACTTCATCCCCAGTGTCGTCCCATACGTCTGGGTTCTCGTCGCCAAGCGAGTTGCCCAAAGGCCCGAGAATGCGAGAGAACTCGATGTCGGACATGTCGGATATTGAGCTCGAGATGACTTGAGGTCCAAGAGCTACCTCCCTCAAATTGAGCAGCAATCGGGACAGGCAGATTGCTGTGATGCTATAGGCCTATCATATCAATGTCAAAAATACACACAGCGAAGATGTGACTCACACGTCCGCAATGATAGCTATGTTGTTGTCATACATAACGGAAACCTACGAGGACGAACACATGGAAGGCTGTCGTAGGATGATGACTGAAATCCAAAAAACGTACTAATTTGATAGACCATATGGTGGCCGCAATATGTGTAGCAAATATGACACTGTAAATCTTTTCAGTTCGTTGAACCTGTTATGAGCTAAAGACAGTACCAGAAGTGGAGTGTACCTGTCGCCAGTGTTTAGTACTTAGTAGTCAACGTGACCATTCATGCCCGACAAATACATACCATCTCTAAGTAGAAGCACAGTAATAGATAGCTTGATGTCGACGCCCTGTGCAAGCTTCCGCACACCACCTGTGATGCGCCAGGTAGACAGTAAAACGAGAGCGTCGGCGGCGACGAGACTGATCCGAGTAGCGATCTCCCCTGCAAATGCTGTTGAGGCAACACCATGCAGCGCATAGGAGAAATGTGCTTACAGCTGTGGTGTAGCGTCATATATAAGCATCAGACGGCGCAGTCACTCGAAGCTGTGGACGCACAGAATTGATATCTTGTGATGAGCACGATCGAGGTACTAAATATAGTCGGACTATTGTTAGCAATCGTCACGTCCTAATATGCACAACGGATACATACAATGTTCACCGCAATGGGCACAAACGAAAGTGCCATGATGGTCAACGGCACGGCGTAGCGTTTGCCATTGATCGCATAGATACGCACTGCAGAAATCACTGACGATGCGAGATCTGAGCAGGTCAAGCACATGACAATAAGAGCATCTCACACCTCCAGGCACCGCATACACTACGTACACATTTGCGTTCAGGACCCACGTTAGAACAAAGGTACTTTTGTGTTGCGCATTCATGTCAGCTCGACCAAATGTCGATAAGTTACAACCACATACCCCTGTCGATCAGTCAGTAGTCCCATTGACCTAAGCCGCAAATTAATGATGGCTCACCTTAGAAGATGGCTCACTAGGAGGCGCTATGTTTAGAAGCAAGAACAGGGCCATGGCTGCATGCAAGGTCACGTAGAACGTAGGCACAGCAATTCCGATCCTTTCGCGCCGCCATATGAGATCCACTTCTTGCCCAAACGTAAGGACACGCTCGTAGAAGTAGAGCGCTGACGAAACCTGTGTGTTAGTTTCGGTTGAAGATGCACATGTATAGGTCTTTGCGCACCTGCGGTTGCACTGAGGAGTCGATAATAGACAGTCCTTCCGAGCCGAAATACAGCATGAATAGGATGGAATACGAAGGAGAAGCAAGAGATACTGACGTGAAGTATACCGTCTCGGCGTCCTCCGAAGGCATACTTTTTCTTCAAACGCTCAGTGGTCTGTCAGGTTGTATGAAGCTATGGGAGATAGAGAGAATGGGTACTGCAGCGCAGCGCAGCGTCCATTTATAGCTAACAAACACTCAAAGAGCTGGGCGACTTGGTTTGTCAATACGAATGTGAAATTGACAATGACGGCAGTCCGTACTAGTCAAAGAACAAACGACCGTTACCAAATTGCCTTCCTCAAGGCCGCACATGGCCGGGCGCATCCACCCGCTCTCTCAGCCTGAGCACATGGTGGTGCCTTGACTCCTCGAGTCCAGAACATCTTGACCAACAGCACACCTGCGATTGAACAAGCCACTGGATCGCGAACGCAGACTTGTGGGGCTTCCGGATCATGGCGAAAAGATGGCAGTGGTTCTAACCAATGCACATGTCTTGATTGATCATCAAGCGGTCTGAAGGGACATACTTAGCCTGACACTTGCGAATGCCTTGGTGTGCCAATACTATGGACTTGAAGAAAGTGTGTGGGGTTTCGTCATCAACTAGCGGTTGTTACTTGTCAACGTCCTCGAACTTGCTAGATTCAAGCATATATACTGTACCATCTTGAGCCGGCATGAGGAAGGCAATTTGATAAATGTGGTCTACAAGCCGTCGCTTTTACCGCCTTGTTCTGTTGCTGTGCACACACTAGATGAACGTCACCGAGATCCGAGAAAACAAAGCGTACCACATGCACCTCACTTCATGACATCGTGTGAAGGAGGCATAAAAGTGCTTGCCGTTCTTTTATGGTATGCCACGGAGGCTATGAAGGAGGGTGCTGGTACCCGCAAAAAGGCATAAGAACTGTTCCGGGCCCGACGCAAGTTGCAGAAGCCATTCATATGCGCCCGTAAACTCAGAAATGAAGGGGCGAGTGACGAGTACCACCCGCCGTCACGCACGTGAGATACACGAGCAGAGGCTGCACGACAACACCGCATCAGGTTCGTGTGGCATTAGATGCAAGGTGCCATACACCTAGATGATCGAGCGAAGAGTGAGTGCCACAGTTCCTGAGATAGCAACAAAACACTTCTGAGGATGTGCGGAGAACGCACCACCTTTGCGGGTAGGACATGTGTAGTCTGAGCTTATCGTGTACAATAATTCCGAGATGGGCCACCGACCTTTGGCCTACGCATCGCATGAATGAGGACCACATGAACTCACAGATCATTTGGTCTCGTACCGTCAATGCCGTACACACTAACAGTGTTGCCCAGTGGATGCGCTGTACGGACTTCGATGCACATGGCCACATGGACATAACGTCGACCGTCAAGAGTACAGTGGTCAACGCCATCTTCGCTCATCGATCGACCACCGGTAAGGACACTTGCAGCATAGAAGCATTCTCACCTCGTGGGCCCACGTGTTCTCCGACGCGATAACAAGCATCCACAATCTTCAATGATACAAGGAAGTCTAGATGAATACCGCTGTCGCATGCGTACGGTCATGGTAAGCAAGATAAGGAGGAGAAACCAAAATAAGACTACCCACTACGCCTGATTCATGGACAAAGGATCCCCAGCTGAGTGCACGCAATGTCTCGCCCCCTCGAACACTCTAGGAGGTCTCGAGCGTCGTCGCTGGCTTCATCAAAGACCGCGTCTTCTGCAACATGTAGTAGGAGAGTAAGGCCATCGTCAACTAAAATTCTCAGCGGTCCCAGAATACGTGCGAAGTGCGGATCAGCCACATCCGGCATGTGTACCTGTGGAAGGATGAGGCTGGTAAGACTATTTGGCGAGGAGGTCAGTGCATACAACTGTCCCACCGGAGCAAGAGCATCCCGATGGACACGTCAACATTCAGCCCCGCAGCGGCGCAAGTGTCTGGATGCCGCCCGAGACATGGTATGTTGCCAGCATGAGCACCGCGTCAGCCACAATGGAGCCGGTGGGCGCGTTGATAAGTATCCTCCGTCGGTGCTGGATGTCAGCCAGCCAGCGTTACATGAGGTGCCATCTACTCACGTTTGTAAAGATGCGGCGCGGTACGCATATCTACGCATGCGAATGTGGCTAGACGGTCGTACATGTCCTGGAGCTTGATTGACATGGTCAGCATGAATGCGCAGCCATCCGACGGTCCTATCTGCTTGACTTCGAGCACAGTGATGTCATGCTGTTAAATGAATCGTGTCAGCACGTTGCCACGCATACACAGGGTAATCAAATAGCTTACGACGTTGACCGCCATGGGTACGAGCAAGGGGCGTCCATCACCGAGGATTCAGAATATTGACCCCCCAAGAAGTGCTGGCGCGACCCCGAACACCTGACCCCAACCATACAACCTTTAGCGCCCGAAACGTTTGAGCCAGGCGGAGGTTGGGCGGAGGCTCTCGAGTTTGGTGGTCCACTGCGCACAGTTATAACATCGCCGCGAACTATCGACGGCAGTGATATAGTACCGACCGATCACTGACATGATATAGAGACATTAATGGGATCTACTCTTGTATCTACAAATGAAATAACAATAATTCACAATGAGAAGTTGCTCGTCCGAGTCTGTCCGTCCTCCGAGTCGAAGTAATATCAACAGGTGACTATGATAATCTTATACGCTTTGGAGGACGTTCTACGCCTTTCGAGCCTTCGCATTCGCCCGCTTGCTCAGCATTGGGGTCGGGAGTAGGATAGGGACATGTAGCGCTTGGCGCGACGGTCGAAGCCTCTTGTGGAACGATGTCGATGGCCGCAATGAAGCTCTTGCTTAGTGTGGTAGTGCGAGACGTCGCCGAGTCCCAATGGCGTGGGTGTGACTCACGTATATGCTGGAAAATATTGTATTTCCAGAACACGGGTTTTTGCTTCGTTGTTGGGTCACTGTCGCAGAGCTCGCAGTGAAGCGGAACGTTCGTCGACGGCATGCGGGCGGAATACTTCTTCGCAGAAGCGAGGGAGAATTTGTGGGCACGAGGACAACCCGACACTGGGTGGTATGAAGAGGCCGTCTTCGTCAAGCTGATTTGACAGCCCGTGCGCCCGCAAAAGCCGCATGGATAATCGGCGTGCACCTATAGAGCCAGTGTAACTGAGTACATCGAATGCATGGTTTCGCGAGTAGCAATCAATACGTACGCGTTCCTGTAGCTGTGGTTCCTGTACTCCGAGGATCGCACGCAGGATGTGCTCACCGACGTGCGTGCGCAGCAAATCAGACGCAACCGAACGATCGCACTGATAGCAGGAGACACGATTTGGTAACTTACCGCTCTCGGACTTCTCTGCAATGAGTCGCATGGCATTGTCAAGTACAAATGGTGCCTGCCCTGTACGTTTGTGAGTGAGTATCAAGTCGAGTCGGCAGTGGAGAAGTCATGATGTGCTGGCATACCTTGCTGATTAAGGTACGGAAACTGTTGCATCTCTGCAGGTCCATACTTCGTCAGTTGTTCAGCCAATAGCGCGGGTGCTATTGTCTTGAAGACGTTCGCAACGAGCTCTAGGAGTATTGTATGTTTGACAGAGCATGTATGCACTGCACCTTTGCTTTCTAGGAACTCTCGGCATGTAGGAGGTAGCAGCGAGGTCGATTCAAGCGCCATATCGACGGGGCAGGCAAAATGGCCAGGGACGCGAACAAGGTGATTGTTATGCATCCCGGCTTCTGTCCTTTGCACCCGTCCGGCGGCGGCTGCGTTTGCAGGGGAGAAACGCGCCAAGTACCCTGTCCAAAGCCACGTAGTCTCGCAATGTGACGAAGGGGGAGCCGGCGCCGCCGTGGGTGACTCGGATGAGTCGGATCTGGGTCGACAAGGAGCAGGTTCGCCGTGCCTGGTCGCGGTGGCGGAGTCGATGGCAGCACGGCCACAGCCAACTGTCGTGTCCGCCGCTTTATCGCCGTGCGTCTCCGAGTCGCAACCCCCCACATGAGATTCCTGCGCAACACCGGTCACGACACTGACTGGTCGCATATGCAGGACCTGTCCTGAGATGACAATCTCCGACGAAGCCTGCTCCAAGGCATCCTCAGAGATCTGGGCTACACGGTGATGAGCCCTTAGCTCACCTACCCACCGAAAACGCCATTTACGGTCGATACAACGGTACACTAAGTCAGAACGGTCGACGCACTGTCCGTCCGTTCGAGGGAACCGCCCGATGTTCGAAGCTCAAGCGTCCATGTTCGGAACCCTTAGTGGCAGAGACAAGCGGTGTAGAAGCGTCGCTACATTGGTAGGACTCCGGAGCAAGTACATGGCTACGTCAACCTAGCTAGTGACGACCCCGGCAACTCTCGTATCTATGTCCTCGACCACCACCACCCCTACCCCTACGGACAGACGGACCGGTGTCGGAGCCACGGTCAGTGTTGACGCGCTCGAGCAGGCTTTCGAGCAACCCGACGAGGGTGCCGTGCGTGCGGCGCTGGTCGACTGCAATGTTGTGAATCGCTCGACCCATGGACTCGAGGTTATCGGGCAGCTGGCGAAAGTCGGACAGGATCAACGACTCGCGCTGATACTGCGGGTTCGCGAGGGGACGACGCTCGGCCTGGTTGACTTGTTCGAGCAGTACCAAGGTCTCGGACCACGCGATCGTAGGGTAGGGCGAACCTAGGATGTCTCCCTGGTTGCCATCGCGGTGAAAGACCTCGTCGAGGTAACGCATCAACTCGTCGATCTCGGGGAACGACCTAGGAGCGGGAAGCGTATCGTTCGCCAGCAGGATGGCCCGGCTACGGGACTCGAACAAGAAGCGCTGTTTGAAGGTCGGTACGATGGTTCGAAGGATAGTCAATGTCCGGAGGCACGTACGATCATCCAACGGACTCCGTGGGCCCAAGCCAGCCACTCTCCGGGACTGTTGGCATCGTATCGCGGCTCGACAAGTCCCTCGGTCTTGAGGACCTCTAGGAGGCGGTAGTAGCGGGCAGCATACGCTTCGGAAGTTGGGTCGAGGTGCGGCATGTTCGTGTAAGCCAGGCAAACTCCTGCGGCTGTCTCATATCTTCGAGGACTGTCGCCGGCTCCGGTTATGACCTTCACCGTTCGGGGACGATCGCCCGTTATTCGGAACTTGCGGAAGGCCGAGTTGGGTTCTCTCATGTGTTAGTAGGTCCGGGTCGAGCGTTGTGACAGTCTCCGATTGGCTATTTTCCTTATCACTCTCATTCATCATTTCTTGGATTTCTCTTGGCTCTCTTGGTCTTCGGACCGTATTTTCCTGTATATACTCTGGGACTTGTTCCCTTCGAATCTCAGAGACCCCCCTACCCTCTCAATCTCACCTTGCGCCGGCGAGGTTCGTCAGCCAGTCAGTACGTTCGAAAGTCAGCAAGTTCGCCAGTCAGTCAGTACGCTCGAAGTCAGTCAGTCAGTTCGCCAGTACGTTCGCCAGCTCGTAGTTGCCCCGAGAGGCTCTACACTTCTTCTCCTGCCGTCGCTCGCCTCTCTTGTCACCGTTCGTTCGACACGCCTGTCGAAACCCTCCCTCCTACCTCCGAGGCTTAGCCCTCGTCTTCGAACAGTCTTCGACATCTTCGAAGCTCTCCCACGTCGTTCGGAGTCTTGTCCGTCCTCCCCCTTCTTACCTAGACCACTGTACAGTCCCCCGTACATCTCATAGACGCAGAGGCCTCGCATACCACTGCTCGACCTCACGGTTGGGTTTTTGTGTGGCTTTTGTGTTCTTTTCGGTCGCGTCATCTTGGAGCCCACCGCGAGGGGGATATAGAGCAAGATTCCGCCGCGTCGGAACTTCGACGTCAACCCTGAAGACTACCGAGACTACGAAAGTCCTCTTCTCGCACTCGCTATCGACAGTCGTCTAGGTCCCGGATCCGCCGCCGCCTTTCGCAGGCATAGCAACCCTCTACCAGGACCTTCGACTATCCCCTCTTCATCCGAACACGTCGAGCTTGTCCCCGATCACGACGATCAGGAACACTCCGCTCGAGACCAAGTACCTACTACCCCATCCCATCCCGGACGTGCTCGAAGACTTTCGCTCTCAGACGACCTAGAGTCTCGAGTCTTTGGCTCTCCTCTACCGTCCCTAACGCCGTCGCCGCCTCTCGAAGGAGAGGACCTCAGTTCAGCCACGCCGATCACGACGCGTAGTGGAGCCACCACCTCACGTCTACCTTTACCCACTCGTCGCAGAGCGTCGTTAGCCCCTCCAGGACCAGAGTCGTCCGAGCCGCGAAGGACTTCGACCAGCGACAACCAAAACCCTTCGAACGATCCACCAAATCCTTCGAACCCTCCGAACACCGATACGAACATGTCCGAAGCAGCAGCACAAGCTTCGAAGGCGGCTTCCATGCCTGCCCGCGGTCACTCGACTGCGCCAGTCTTTGATGAGTCAGAGCCCTTCGCGTTCAACCGCTTCTTCCAGGACCTCGAGACCCACTTCACGCGATGCGGGATCACCACCAATGCGGACAAAAAGTCATGGGCCGTTCGGTACCCGCCGATACGGGTCTCGGACCTGTGGACGATGCAGCCGACGTACAAGGATGCTACGAAGACGTACGACGAGTTTAAGACAGCTCTTCGAACACTCTACCCAGGTGCCGACGATCAACACAAGTATTCGACGGACGACCTCGACAAGATGGTCCAGGAACGTCAGAGGC